ACCGTAACTACTACTACTTAGTACGTTAGTAGTAGTAGTAATAAATAGTTATTAGTAGGTACGTACTACGTACATAGTAATACTATATATACTTCGTTAGTAGTATATATATATATATATATATATATATATATATATGTAGAAAAAGATGGGAATAGCCCACTCACCTATCCCTTTGAAATGCGCCCATGGCTATGATTGAGAGCACTAGATTGGACGGCCAAGATGGAAAAGGCTGGATCCCACTCGCTTTTCCCATTCAAAATGGCAGCCGTTTAATGGGGCAGCCTGACATCAGTACAATGTCAGCGTTAACAACCTGACAACATTTGAAAAACTCTCTCTCCTCTCCTTGATTTAAGAACTCCCCATCATTCTTGCTCTTCTCAATTTTAACTCCCCTCTCTCTCTCTTCAGCTTGGTTCCCATCTTTCTCTCTCTCTCCTCACCTCGATTTAACAACTATCTTCTCTCTCTCTCCCCAGTTTGGTTTCTCCCCCTCTCTCTTTGTTTTGGTTCCCATCTCTCTCCTCGTTTTAACAACTCCCATCTTTCTATTTCCTCAATTTGGTTCCCCTTTTCTCTCATCTCCTTGGTTAACAACTCCCATCTTTCTCTCCTCTCTCTCTCCTCAGTTTGGTCTCTCCTACCTGGTCTACCTCTGTGTCCCAACAGCGGCTGCGAAACTCTCTCTCCATCTCTCTGTCACAACAACTCTCTAGATCTGTCACTCTTCATCTCTCTCTCTCAGATTCTCTCCCATCGCTCATATGGTTGGCCTCTTTAATTTGCGCTTGCAAATCCCTGGTTTGTCTCCCATCTCTCTCTCTCTCTCTCTCTCTCTGATTCCCTCCCAAAGTAAACTCTCTGTCTCTCTCTCTCTCTCGATGTAAGAGGCTTTTATGGAAAAATTTTGGGTGTTCTGGATGTTGAGATTAGAATTTAGAGAGAGGGTAAATTTGTAGAATAAACCTGCACTCTGTTATGTTTATTTTCATAGAGTAGAATACATCTATAGAATAAATAAGTGATGCTAAGGATTTATATGTTATAAAATTTTATTCTACAGATTTATCCTCTCTAAATTCTAATCGCAACATCACTGATTCATTCTACAGATGTATTCTACTTTATGAAAATAAACATAACAGAGCACATATTTATTTTACAAATTTATCCTCTCTAAATTCTAATCTCATTATCCAAAACGCCCATATTTTTTCCATGAAAGCCTCTTACATCAAGAGAGAGAAAGAGAGAGTTTGGTTTAGCAAAGAATCTGAAAGAGAGAGAGAGAGAGAGAGAGAGAGATCAAGAGTGAGAGATGGGAGACAAACCAGGGATCTGCGAGAGCAACGCAGAAAGGCCAAACAAATGAGCGATGGGAGATTTGGGACAGAATATGAAAGAGAGAGAGAGATGAAGAGTGAGAGATCTAGAGAGCTATTGTGATAGAGAGATGGAGAGAGAGAGAGAG